ATATGCTCGGATATATCCGTGCCTTACGAAATGCTGAGATGCTCAGCAATCTTAAAACACATGTTTGCAACCATTCCAACTACTCTGTCAATCGAACTCTAAAAAAACATCATACAAGAATTGTGTATTGATTTCACTTAAGGCGCGTGATTTTGGGACGAAAACGCTGAGCCAACACTTCTCTTTTATTTCGAACAACGCAACACAACAGACTCATTTGTTACTGTGGCGTGGTATTGCATTTGTTTACTTTAATCCTGTTACGACACCAATTGAACATAAATTTCATCACGAATTGAAATTTGGCGCGCCGACATATTGAACCTGATTATATCTGTTGTGGAAAGTTGTCAAACTAAATTCAGCTTGATGTGTCAAATTTGTGCTGGTTGCATTCAATTTCATTCAAGCATTTGAAAAGGCAAGTCAATTGTTGTGAATATTGTTCGATCTATAGGGATGGTTTTTTCCTTTTTATTCAAATTAAGTAATTTAGTCAATGATTTTAGGTAGAAAATACATAACATCTGATTAATTTTCCTCATATTGTTTTTTCGTTTGATGTTTTGACGTGAAACTCATTCGTTCATATCTCGTTGATCGTACACAAAGCGGCTAAACTTCTAACGGGAGAGCGATTGCAATGAACAAAGGTATTGCGAAATACTTTCTGCGTCTAACAAAAGGAACAACATTGCTAGTACATTCTAAAGTTATTTCCTGTGTTTCTACTCTCTCTTTCAGGATTCAATAGGCAGAAAGAGAAAGGCAGCGGCGTCATGTTCGGGTCCAAAGAAAAAGAGATGGAAGAAAAATTTGATTGTTGATGGTGAAAAAAAGAATTGAAAAGAGAAAAAGAAAGAAGGAAAACCTCCAATCATGTTTAAAAACTGGCGTTAAGCACGCTGGTTCGGCCGAAATATCGCCAAGTTGCCATGAATAGATAACCGAAAAAATTCTGCAGTCGACCACCATTATTGCATCCAATTCGCCGATTGAGATAAAGAAACACGTTCGAGCACCAGGCACTCGTAAATTGGTGAGAAGTGTCAAGAAAATTGCGGGCAATGTCATACGATGGGTCAATAAAAGCAGAACATCGCTAAGTATGTGCAAGATGTTTTACACCATTTCCGTCGTGTACTTTCAACGATCGCTTCAGAAAGTGTGAATGGTGTTGGAAAGAGATAGGTCGAGGTGCCTGGCCACCAACTTTGGAGTTACCACCGAAAATTGTAACGTCGAAGAACACGCGAAATTTGCGATCAGAGCGACGAGCGATGCGCGAAGATGCAGAGCAGAAACCAAACCATTACGATGACCATTTTGTGTCTAAGGCGATTTGTTACCGTAAAAACTGGCAACAGAATACGGCGAACGATGCGGCACTGCAATAGCTATTTTCACTGTCACGATCAACATCGAGCTCAAAGAGGTTCCCTCCTATTTCAATGGATAGGCTCAAATGCTATGCTGACCGATTTAGTTGGATAAATGATCAATTAGTGACTTTCAATCTTTGTGGTAAAGTAGCAAAATCATCAGCAACTGCTTATGAAGTGTACACTTTTTGCCGTTTTATGACTGAACAAATATGTTTCCTCGATGAGTACGAAAGTTGAGCCATATCAATTGTACCCATTCTGTGCATTTCATGAGGAGCATGTGTCCTGCTTTGATTCTAAATCGTTTCAATAAATAAACAGACAGACATATGTATGCGAAAAAGACAATTCATACATCGATGATTTATGATGGCACCGAACACCTTTTTATTTTAATTATTTATAATATTTATTTCTTATAAATTGGCAATTAAGGCTTAGATTCATGTAAGGATTATTTCTTTTAACGTTTTTAATTTTACCCAAAAAGGTTCAAACGACTTAGAATATCAATGCAAATATACGCAACTAAAGAACAATAGCTACATACCATTACATTGGTATACATTGCATTTGAATATTCGTTCAGAATGATGTTATGTCGGCATTATGAAAACAAGCACGCTCGCCAAATAATTCAATTTGATACAATTTAATATTGTGGCAAAAATATTTGTGGCATCTCATCGCAATACATTTCAAATATTAGGCAAAAATGTGCTCAAAATAAAAAAAAAAACATCGAAAATATGCAACTCGCGTACCTGATTATGTATAGATATCGGTTTATCAGCGACAATGCATGACAATAGTGGCAATAGCGTGTAGGTGTTTTACATGTCAAATGACTGAAAACTAAAAATAGATGGATGTTTTATGAAAAAGTACCACAGAATAAACATTCAAATGTACATCTCTAAAGAGTTCATCGTGTTCACACTTAAGTTTAAAGAGTTTATGCACACTAGTATTGAGTCATATGGAGATAACCAAAACAACTGATTCTCTCGTTGTCCAATACAGCGTATATAAACCTGATCTTTTTGTTAGAGTTAAACTTATGACTTTTTTGTTTTCTAGAACTATGATAGAAAAAACTCCGTGGAAAAAAAGAAACAAATAAAATTTGCTCACAAAGTGGCAGAGCTCAATATCGAGTTGAAATAGAAAAAAAACAACGCATTTTCCTCGCTACTGAGAAATTTTAGCGTTCAAGTGAAGTAGTAGCGTTCAATTCATCATAGTTGAAGTTCCTATCAACCAAACCCATTGTCGAAAAAATCTTGAGTAAGTGGCGACAGCTTCATATTATGTCCAACAATTCGTGTCACTTTGCGGATATATGCATTTTTGAGAGTAGATTGTGCAATGTTAAGTATTTCAAAGAATTAATGGAGCCTAGGAAAAAAAACAATAAAATTATCTTGCTGTGCTCACACGTCACTAACACAATCAAACTACACCGTGAATCACATCGATATGCCAATTCCGGTTTTTGCTCCGATTTTCATTTACCTCCATCTCTTCAAATAAGAGTGTTTTGATTTTCATGAAAAAAGAAGTGGGGAAAAAATTCTTGTTACTTTACTGAAATCTACAAATCACCCGCTAATTGTCACACTTTGAACAATTGTAGAGCGCCATCCATAATTGACGGCAAAATCAGCTGTAAATAGCCGTAAGTGATTTCGATATATTGGGAAATGTTGCGAAATCATACCAATTAGTACTGAATTTTGCCGTCATTTATGGACGGCGCTCTACAACTTCACGCTTCGTATTTTGTATGTATTCAATACAAGATTATATGCGTGTGCTACAAATACTTTCCGTAGATATCTGAAATTTCATATGTATATACGATTCGACTTGATAACTCAAAAGACCGTTGACGTAACCAGAAGACTTTTTTTGAGTTTGCAACAGAATCAGTACTCGGTGAATTTTTGAATATTTATTTCTATTTCTCTTTCATTAAATTTTCAATGTTTATTGTAATTGTAATTGTAATTGTATGCAGTACCGAAAATAATACAGTGTCATGATTGTATGGTATATATTTGTAGCGCGTTCAATGCGAATCTCGCGTGTAACACGTATTCTATGTGCCGACGACCTGACGGCTTAACAGCAAATGGAAAGCACATTTTCATATTAAAGATTGCACGGTATAAACGTGCACGCGTATACGTCGAAAGAAACCACAAATTGTTGTAGAGTGAATTTCAATAGCCCGATTCGATATATACTATAAAACATAGGTTATACAATGTGCAAGCGTACGAACGATTTGATTCCCTTAATTGTCTTAGTCGATGTAGTTGCAAATTTATTCCATGGAGCTTGTGAATGAGTAGTAGTAGCTCATCCAATTTTAGAAGCTCTTCCATTTGTTTTGATAGACCATGAATGCAAAAGAAAACATTGGATCAATTGCTGTGCATATCATGAAGTCAATGCTAAGGTGACATGTTATTTTGTTTTTTATTTTTATTTTTGGTGGTTTTAGTTTTTTTCTCATACAATTAGTTTGGCATGGGACATCACTCAACAACTCACAACGCTTACCAAACCCATTTATGGAATGTGGTGTGTTTTGAGAAACGCCATTGTTCGTAAGTCTGTATATTGTTTACGTGTATATTGTATCCTACTCGTTAATTTGAATCTCCCTTAGTTCAATTCAATAATTGTAACACATTGACGATTTTTATAATGCGGAAGGAAGTATACCGAATCTTGCATACATGTTTCATCTTGTATGCCAAAATAAAGTTGGAATGAATTAATTTTGCTGATGGAAAGTAATCAAAATATAGAACTAAAATTCCCAAAAAGTGACGATATCGCTGGATGTTCAAAAATTGCATGATAATTGCTATATCTTATTCAAATGAACTAATAATTTTACTGATCAAGTTGATAGCTTGTAAATTTTGAGCCCGTTTTGAGCCTGTTGTGAGGAAGTTCAATGGAAGTATCCCAGAATTTACCAACTATTACAATTACGTCAGTCGGCATCATCTATGATATTCAATGTATATTTTTAAATAGACCACTTATACACATATTATGACTTGGTAACATTTTTATCATCTATTCTATAAACGTGGAATCTACTTCAAGCAATTCATCGTGACCATTAGACATTTGTGAATGAGACGCGTTTTATATTCAGCGTGACTGTTTTAGATTTAGTATTGCTTCTAATAAGTACATCTTCTTTACATCGATTTTCTTTACAGAAATCGGGTGGGAGAGCCGAACAAAAAAAATATTGGAAAGAAAGAGTAAAGTGAAAGAAGAGAACAGTGAAAAAGTGTAGCTATGGCGAATAACTAGAAATGGATGCGAGTTTGATTTTATGTATGTATTGTAGAAGTTGTTCGGTGTCTGTATGCTCAGCCGAATGTATACGCTGTAGTCGTAATATGTGCGCGATATTTTTAAACATATTTGTTCATGTTCATGTTCAGTGAGTGTGATGTATATAGCTGTACGTTCTGTGTGCTTCATACGATGTGTAAGCTATGCGATGACGAAGTCGATTCTTTTCAGCAACCATGTTTATTTCAATTTTTCAACTTTTTTCTTCACTCTGCTGTGCACAGTCTTTTTCACATACATAAATACAATACAAAGAAGACGGGTTTTTGTACGCATGGGAGCGCTACAATCGTTTTCACACATACACTCAAATAGCGATGTATTAACTTACTTAAACTTGAGCATAATTTTTCACAAATGTAATGAATGTAAAACATAGCACCAATAATCTGAATAATGGTTCTGTCGATACGAATAAAACAGAGTCCCGAATTAAATTTGTTTGGATTTTGAAAAGAATAATTTGGACGACAAACACAAGGTTGTCAAGTTTTGCTCGTTAATAGTAGTGCCTGAAGGACCCTTAGCTCAGAAAATACTGTACATACATATACATATGTACGTATGTACGTATGTACGTACGTATGCAATGTTAGCATGTATGTATGCATCCAACACCATTACATTACGTTTCCGTAGCAAATTCGGAATATTGAAAAGGGCAACTTAACGGCTACTAAAAACAATAACACAAGTCGCTCCATATTACGTTTTTTTTTTGTCAAATCCACGAAAATCTGTTGAATAATCCTATATTTGACCGAAATCGCCTAATACAAATTATTTCATTAATCAATTTCGAAATCAAAATTTGCTCACACTTTGAAAATTGTGGTTCGTCCACCAAATTGCAATTTGGTTTTATTAAGCTAAAGACAAGCAATAAACAGTTTCTATTTCGATCTGGGATATGTCAAGTATGCAATCCGTGCAAAATGGAAATAGAAAAAAGGAAAAGTGACGACATTCTCACAATTTATAAGCAGTTGAATAAACAAGTATTTCTCAGCGACTATAGAAAATCAACAAAAGTCCCCCAAACATTTCATTTTATCAATTCTATATACATTTTGAATGCGTTGAAATATCAATTACCTTGAATCATAAGTTTTTTCTCAGTTAAATCCACAATTTGAACATAAATCCACTCAAAGACGATTTACGAATCAATGTTTTTCAAGTGCACGAAAGAGAATGTTCATGAAGTGTTCCACAATTTTCCACAGGTCTTTTGTTTATTTTTGAATTAGATTTCTATATGTCACAGTCCGATTACTTATTCAATGGTAAATTACTTGCTAATTCACAAATTTTAATCGAAACTTACACCCGAGCGATTTCCAATTCAATAGTCTTGAAATGTCATTCGGTGTGTTGCCCATTCATTTGATTGCCAGTATAGTTTCAACATTTGATTGAACGATCGAAGTAATGTCCATAAAAAAAACTCACAAAAGTCACTGATTTAGCAAAAAAGGAGAAAGATGAAAATTGTTTCTAATTATATTTCTCTCTTAAGAAGGACATTAACATTGTTGTTGTTGTTGTTGTTGTTTTTTCTGCATTTCAACAGTAATAATTAGTTAATTAAATTTCTGTTGTAGGCTCTCGTCCCTTAACAACGTTTTAGGGGATTTCAACTATCAAAATTGCACACTATTGATTATTTATTTGAATTTTCAGTTGGATTTATTCAACTTCATCCCAGAAAACGTTCATGAAATATTGACCAGCTAATGTTAGATATTCTTGATTCACTTCTTTCACAATTTGTTTTGTTTCGTTTTGCGCTTCACTTTGCCTTTGCTGCAAACTATTGTTTGTCATTTGTTTAATTACGTTGAATAGTTTGTATGATGTTATGTTTTTCTTGTAGTTTTGATGACAAATTTATTGGAAAATTACACAAAAGTAAACAATTTATTGTACTTTAGCCGCGCGACAACGACACGACGACGACACCTTAAACCCACTTCTCGGATATAGACACCATATTGGATTGCTGTTTGAGTTTAACACATACCGTTGTTTCTCTCACAATACCATATTTACCTCTCGTTCGCACCGATTGTGTACGAATGTATTTGTGCCATCTACATGTATGTAGAATAGCGTTCGAAAAGAATCTTTACTACCGAAAAATTTTAACGTCTTTGTAGCTCATCCTTAATTTGAAACCTTTAATTGAAAACGACAGAAAAGATTGTTCGCAGATCAATTCATATTGATTCGAATGGATAATAATCGAATGTTGCGATTCGATTCAAGAAAAATTCCCATTTCAAATCATCTATGTTTTCAATCAAGCGATATTAAATAAAAAATGCTACGCGCACTAAACATTTTCTATGAATAGCACAGCCATATTACGGTTGGATAGATTGCACACATATACTTAAGCATTTTGTTGTTGTCGTCGTCGTCGTCGTCGTCGTCGTTTTTCACTCGTTTCATTTTACAACTTTTGCTGTGCAGCTCGACTGTACCTCCTTTCATATGTTGCTGTTGCCTTAAGCGAACTCTTCAAAGTCGTTTTTCAAACCGAAAAACTGGCTCGACGCAAGCCTCAGTACGTAAGCTCATTTGTATGAATAAATGTGATGCAAAATATTTTTTTCTACAACAACTTTTTGTTGTTGTTTCTATTTCGCATTGCTTACATTGTCTCTATTATGAGTTTGTATCGAGGCTTAGATGTATTTGTATACGTTGCAACTCGGTAAACGATTGAATCGCAACCGAGAGTGCACTGATGCCCGAAGCACTTTACCCATTTTTTCCTATTTAATTAAAAGCATCTAATCTATTACTACATTTTTCGTGCGCTAGAATTGAGCTGGCGTTATGCTTACATAGTAATATGATATGATAATGAAATCCAGAATCGATGGATAACTTAGAATACAACAAAATGAAGTTTTTTCTGTATAACTGCTATGTTTGATAATAAATGCAGGGAAAATTATTTTTGAGGAGATCAAACCACTCGGGCTGTATGCTATCTGACGAAGCATACCGCTCCAACTATAAAGAAGAGTTATTTAGAACGTTTGGTATGAATAGGTTTATTGTATGATTCCCCGTGTTGATGCATCGATTTTCCTATCGATTTTTGTTATTAGAATGTGTTCCAAACATGTTTCCACATCTTAATCGAGATGTTCAAGTGAAGTAAATACACGCTTTTTCTGCGATTTATCCTTTAGTAATCAGTCGATGAATAATCAAAAGAGACATCGAAAGCTGGTCAACATGGGTCAAAAATACATAATCCGAGAAAGCTGCGAAAACTGAACGTTGGGTGGATTGTTTTCACCTTCAAACTTTCGATAACTGTTGCGGTTAATGGCGTTATATTGGATTTTGCATCGCAATGCTATCTCACAATATGTGTGTACGAGAAGTCGCTGTCTACGTATCTTTAGTTTAGCCGGTTATGGATCTATTAAGCTATTTTTTTGCTCTCCAATGATTCAAATAAACTTTTCTATGGTGGCACATTCGCTAAATTTTTGTCGCAACCATCGGTGTATGCACTATGCATTTTCTATAACTATGTGGCATACTTTGAGCATATAAGTGAAGAACGCTTTTTGGCTTACCAAGTCTTTTCACTTTGAAGCTTTAGTTCTTTGTTTAACTACACTTGAATACCATCATGTGTATCGAAACTTCATATGATTTCTTTGCATTTTGTGGAAGGTTCACAAGCCGAAAACCATATCACATTGCTTAGTAAGCATTTTCTTTTAATAAAAATTTGCTTCTCTACATTTTTGTCTTCCGCACTATTGGTCTCTACCAAGCGCTTGTTTGGTTATAAACAATAATGTGCTCGAAAACCCAAATTTGACAAATTAAATCCTTTGAACTCCAAATTAGACACATTTTGGACAATTCAGTATTATGATTCGTCATCTATGGTCCAAAATCAACCAATACTCCTAGTCCTAAGAAAAAACGATGCACTAAAGGGCCATAAAAACAACATAGGCCGTTTCATATTCTGTGTCAATCATTGGTTCAAATATAAATTGTGGATTTTTCTTGAATATTGCGTCCGAGACGAATATTTTTTAATAATACATAGTTCAACTTTACATTTGAGCCCAACTAACGAATTCAGGTGGAATTTTGTGAAAAAAATGTTTAAAACACCCATACGTTCACTGGTTGACATAGAATATGAATATTTCAATTGTAAGTTATTGAATCTTGGGTGCACTATGGTAACACTTCGGTGCCTATTGTGAAGGGCCGATGGTATTTTCCGTGCGTGATCCCCCTTGACGTTTATGAAATATTTCGGAATATATTGGTCACCAATATTTTTTGAGACGGGTTTTTAATCTTAATAGAATTAATTTTTGAGAGTGAGGACCTTTCATTACTCACTTTTCTCATTTTACCATAGGTTCTGACATTGGCAAGAAAATTTTGATGGACGAAAATATCGAAAAATTTGGGGTAGTCATTTCAAATGCTGTGGGCTCATTTCAAAAACCGAGAAAATGAAGGGGGTAAACGCTTAATCGGCGGGGGGTTTAAAATGAGTTCTCCATGCCCCGAGCTTGCGCATTCGATAAAAATGTACTAAATGTACCTTTTTTTAATTTGTGCAAATTCTCAAATCTCCTTCTTCTATTCTAAAATATGCACTGAAGATGTCGAAAACAATGCTTTCAATTAGAATTGAGAATGAAATTGTCGTTTTTCACATGGAAGTATTCCGAATCTGAAAAACTTTTAGATATTTCAAATTCCAAATAAATTATTAGTAGATGATTTGAATTGATTTAAAAAGTAATTTTTAAGATGTCATTAAAATTATTACTTTTAATCGACGTCAATTTCCACTATGTTTACATCAATGGACACCAGTTCCATTTGATCTTTAATCAAAAATTTATAGTGGAGACGCCTTATGAAAAATATAACCCACAAATTCACCAAATAATTTAACTCATCTTAGCTTTTTTAACTCATTATATAGTGGATTATTTACACTGCGGATCGATCACAAATTCTTTTTTGTCAGTAATAACGTGAATATATTCAAAATAAATTCTTTTGAATAACAACAAACTTCACCGGCCATGAGTTTTATAGTTCACCGATAGCCGGTTACTACTACTCCCATTTAATTTCGAATTAATAATCAATGAAAATAAATGTAATACAAAAATTGCTAGCAAATCATATGAAATTGTCAAAATATCACAAAAATCATTGATGAAAACGCTTTAAGGCAGTTCAATCACGAAATTTACGAAATAGGTGTTGTCATGTTATACTAAATAACATTTTTTACATTTTCTATGAAAATAAATTTTAAAGTGGTATTTACTTGCAAATTCGTGTTGATGAAGTGCTCGTGACGGTTGATTCTTTGTTTTCCAATATCACAATATTATCGATTTCTCGAACATTTTTTACAGGCAGCTGGCTTCGAACTTTTTTTAATATTTTGTAGAAAATTCAAGTTTTTCAGTTCACTTCATTAGAATTTATTAGGAGATTGATTCGTTTTTTCGCTTAGTTTTTTTTTGTTTTTCCATTTTGTTTGTACAACTAATCATAAAGTTCTATCTTTTCATCGACTATTCATTTTTATTCGTCAAAATAGTCTTTAATATTAATCTCTTCAATGTAATACACGTTTTTAGATATACAGTAAAACTTTTTCACTCGAAGAACGAACACATTTGCAAATGATTGGTATTACTGGCCGTCGAATTTAAAGAAAATACTTGAAATTATTTCATATACATACACGAACGCAAATACAAACACACTCCCAGACTCACAAATACGCGCACACACATGCATACAGTGACATTTATGTATATATGAAGAATACAAAAATCGCAAATTTCTTCCAAATGGCAGATATCAGAATAAAATCGCATCACATGCAGAATGCTCCCATTCTTTCTGGCTTATTGATGCGATTTTATTTTGTATTTAAAAAAATCAGTCGTAGATGAGTAGTAAAGTACGATGTCATTATAAATTGATGAAGCGAATTTATAAACAAAGGGTGCAAAATATGACTATAAAAAGGAAAAGCAAGCTTGCATCGAATCACTAGAGCTAAAAACTAAAAATTATTTTGATGTCACACAACGAATAGGTCTTTTTCAGGATTTTAATGCCAGACCGATTTGTGTCTTTTTCGTTCTGTTTATTTCTTTTTCTCCTTCAAATATGTGAACATTCATGTACTTATTTTTTCATTCAACTTTCAGAATAATTTTAAAAAAATTTGGTTTTATATGTGTGTAAAGCCACTTGAATAAATTGTAGCAATTAAGAAATATGATAATTACTTTGTTGATTGATACTCGTTAGTTCTCGATTATTTGTAGAGTTTATGACTTATGATTGAATGAAATTGGAAATATGGATTTTAACTGATTTTTCTATAGTTTTTTTTTGCGTTTTTATGTTATTTTTTTTTATTTTTACTTTATTGTGCTGAATATTTACGCGCGACGTACTTTTTCTACGGCACACACGACCGACGTTAAACGCGAGTCTTAATATTCGAAGGGAGTTGAGCGATGAATATAGAACCTAGTAGAAAAAACCAGAACGAGACGACAGTATGTTGTGAAGAAAAGAAACAACATCAGTATACATCATATTTGGATTACGACCACACTCAGACAAATGGCTGAAAAAAAAACGAGATGAACATACCACCGTTCATTGAGTTCGTTTCATTTTATATTCAATCACATTGAAAGAGCAAATACGATTTTATGTTGAACGCGGAATTCATTCTGACTTTCTCTCTCCCTCTCTTCTTTCTTTCTTTCTTGCTTGCTTCTGTTCCATTCCGATCGTTTCATATTGGATTCGTTCACTGTCCCAACTATTTAAATTACACAATGAAACGAAAGAAATGTGAAGAGCTATTTGTTCATCACAATCATCATTGTGATTATATTTTGTTGTTTATGCTTATCTTGCATTTATTCTCTTAATATTGCTTCGAATCGGGAATTTTCTAATTTTTCCGTTTATATTTTTTTAATAAAAACCCCTGGATAAATTTTGTTGGTAAATTTTGACTTCTTTCGCTGATGATGAAGACCATTATATGTGACAAATTAAGACTTCAGTTGCACTTCCGTATATCGTTTTAATTCATTTCAATATTATTAAATTAATAGTAATGAAAAACGATTAGAAAACCAAAGCAACCAGTATATGTATATCTATGCAATGGGGAAAATAATATGTCATTGTTTTTTTTTTCAACTTTTTCTAGTTCGAAACCAAATACATCAAAATACATGTAAATTCTATTTGAAAACAATGGGACAGTTTGCATGTAATTTTATCAACTTCAGCGCAACAAACAGAAACGTTATTTGCATTCGATAAATTATTGAAGAAAATTGTATTCTTTTTGAATTAAATTGAATTTTTAAATAGCACTCATTGTATATGTTATAATTTGTGGTCATTTACTTGTGGTATAATTTACGCACACAACCTAGTTTAAGGTCTTTCTTGTGGAATCATTATTATCAGTATGAACAAAAGTAGCCAAATTTCTTCTGCTTATCTATGAAAGGCGCATATATTCAAATGTTGTGTACTTTGCTAACGAACAGAAAGGAAAGTAGTTTAAAACGACACCAACATACATTCGCCTATCGTTGAATGTTTTTATTTGAATTTTGAACTCATTGATTCAAGTACTATTTGGAAAAAAAATTGGAATTGTTTCGTTAGTTTTGATTTTAGTTTTGATCATTTTCAAAGATGTTCCGTATTCTAAAACAACAAAGTAATACAGATTCGTGCAGATTTAAATTCATATTGAAATCAAATAACAACAATATATATTTGTATTTTTTTTTAAAGAATTTTTCAACGTACGCTCATTGTCAACGAGCAGATACCGTAATACAAACAACTATGACGTGAGTAGAGAATATATCGAAATTTGATATATCAAAAATTGATACGCCTAATGTATTTCTATCTAATTAACTTTCAGGGACCGTGTATTGAAGAAGTGAAATTGTTGCAAAAACATCACGTAGCACCATGTCATAAACCGATCTATAAGCAACCCATTTTGATACACAGAGGACACATGCAATATTTATACGATGCAAATGGCAAAGAGTATTTGGATTGTTACGGAGGCATAGTTACAGTTTCCGTTGGACATTGCCATCCTTATGTTGTTGAAGCCGTCGAAAGACAACTACGGAAAATATGGCATACAACAGTTATTTACATGAATCCATCGCTGAACATCTATTCTCAAAAACTTACGAGCAAATTACCGGGTGACTTGAAAGTTGCCTATTTGGTCAATTCTGGCTCTGAAGCAAATGACCTGGCATTGCTTTTGGCCCGTTTATATACAGGCAACTATGAAATGTTATCGATACAAAACTGTTACCATGGAATGTCATTAGGAACAATGTAAGTGGAAAATAACTAGGGGAACACAGTCATTACGATAGTGCCCTACAAAACTATATTGCAAGGTGCCTTACATTTGTAGTGCAAATTGTGTCAGTAATTTTGTTGAATAGATATTGCAATGAAAAAATTGCAAATTGTTGGGAAATTTTGAGCGAATCTTTGTGGTAATTCAATTGCTATTTTAGGAAAAAAGAATTGGCGTAGATTAATCATTGTTGTGAAATATGCATCAGGTAACTTTAAAAATTGAAGTCATTGTTCCGTGGCCTCTGAATTTGATTTGTTTTAGAAATTCACTAATTTTTCTTCTATTCATATAAAATCAATGATTAATCACATATGTTTGCATATTTTAGTTTGGAATTGACAAAAAAATCGTTTTCAACCTTATAAAATAAAATAATCCAATATTTTACTACAAAACCACCATCAAATTCAACGATCACCTTGTTCAACAATTACAGATATATCTGTACCACAATCTTCCATAAAAATAAATGGTGTCCGCCTTGAAATTTTACATCAACTTCAATTTGAGTTGATCAAGTGGCCTCCTACAAAAAAAAGAACGCAAGACAAAAAATAAGGACAAGGCTCTGGTCCTGAGCCTCAGGACCGAACGTTCGTGATTGGGTGGCCGAAGGTGAAGCGGTAATTCGAAGAATTTTCAAAGGATATTTATGGGCTTTGGTTCTTGTTGTACTTACAAGTACTAATTAAATCACTATGCAAATTTCGCCAAGAAATGAAAACATCTAAGTCCTCAAAATATCAAGAGTGGATCTCTTCAGACCAGCACCTACCCGAGTGCCCACGGCGCCTTGGTGTAAGTTGTATACATTCCTCCGGAAGTGATGACTCAAAATTTTCTCAAAATGAGTAATCTACTTACAAAGTTTCGCTTAGTCAATTAAGATTTGAACATACGTTACATATACTCAAACGACCCCGAGATGCATGAACTGTTTTCTTTGGCCATCATGGAAAAATGAGCCTCAATCTCTGAGCCTTGATAGTATTGTTGGTTTGAACGTTCCTTCGTTCGACATTATTGAAAAACGAATTTGTCCGTTTGTTCGTTTCATAATTTTAGCTCGTTCGTTCGATCGTTCAGTACATTTTAAATACATGGGAAGCGAAGCCAATTATATTATGAATTCCCTGAGCAAGATTGAGAGTAGAGTGTATTTCTCCGCTCTTGTCATGAAAGAGAATACTTCTATCGACTTCAAAATGGTTATGGACGAGTATGTTAATTTTTGTCGATTTTATCATGGTTTTTCGCATTTTTCGCGAAACTGGTAGATAATGATTTTGCGTCTTCGCCAAAATTGTAGTGCGTCAGCTCCCCTATAAGTTTGCTGCAAAGAACTATTCCTTGTCTCCTATCAGATTCGTGAAAAACCACGAAAAAAAAACGCCAAAAGTAAACATCCTTTTCATTGAATATTTTGAAGTCGAAAGAAGTTCCTCCTCTATCATGATAAAATCGGTGAAACACACTTTTTTCCTATGTATTTTAAATGTAAAAAACCGAACGAACGAACGAATGAACGATCGAGCTAAAATTTTCGGACGAACGAACAGAACTTTTTTCAAATTATCAAACAAACGAACAAGCGATCAAAAGTGTTAGGCAGCCAATACTACTTAAGACTAAAAACAAATTTGAGGCACGGTGTAATTGATCGAATAGCTCAATTGAATGAGTTTTTCAAATTCATAAGATGAAAAAATTTGTCAAAATCTAGGGGCTTGACATCGAGTTCAAACTGGAGATTTCCCATTCCTTCAGTGAATCATGGCATTCATCATGTGAAAAATCCAAATCCCTACAACGGTAGATGGGGAGGTGCGGCATGTCGAACGTCTCCTGTTCAAACTGATCGAGAATGCGAATGCTTCGATGGGAAGTGCAAAGCTACATCAAACTACATCGAAGAACTCGAAGATGTATTCAAATACTCGATTCCAAAGGAAAAATGCGCTGGGATGATCGCTGAGTCCATACAGGGCGTGGGAGGGACTGTACAATTCACAAAAGGATACCTAAAGGAAGCTGCAACACTCGTTCGTCTCAACAATGGCTTGTTTATTTCGGACGAGGTTCAAACTGGCTTTGGTCGAACCGGAGATCACTTTTGGGGCTTCGAGTCCCAAGACTTTGTACCTGACATTGTAACAATGGCGAAGGGAATCGGTAACGGTTTTCCATTAGCGGTATGCAATTATTTCTTTATTTTATCTGTTCAACTTACAGCTTTAAACTAGTGGTGGCCATCGAACGCTTGTCCGTTCGTTCGGAATTGTTATGAAAAAGTGTTTTTCAGTTCAAATGGAAAATTTGGTTCATTAATTCGGTTTTTTTACATCAAAAATACATAAGAAGCAAGTTATACATATTATGAATTCTTGATTGAGAATGGAGAATTTCCAAACGCACAAACAAACAATCAAAAGATTGAACGTTTGAGGCCAACACTGTTATGAGTTTTACATTTTCAATATGTTATATTTGTGTATTAATAACATATTACCATTTAAAAAAGTAACATATCAATGAGATAACCATTTATTTTGCCATTAATATTTTTCATTGTATAAATAATATGGATACATCTAACGAAAGTTAACTCATTAGCTATCAGCGTTCGATATTTCGAACAAGGGTAATCCCTACCCATGGGCAAGCATTACAGGCATATACTTAAGAAACAATTGTTTAACTTTTTCATTCATTTTCATTTTTCTGACACCGCCAAAAAAAATTCTGACACCGGCTGAATACTATTTTGATTTTTGCAGGAAAATGACTCCAAGAGTCATGAAAACCCTGATCTTTTCGTGATTATAAAATTGTGTTACACAATATTTTCGATTGAATAGTGGTTCTCTACAATGAAAATTTGATATGTGAATGATATAAAAAATAAAATATAACCAAAGCATGGAAATTGATAAAGGTAGCCGCATCTCAACGGTCCCACGTGTAAAAATGAAAGACTAACTGAAGCGTTAAACATTGTAATAACGGCCTATATGACTGCAAAAGTCATCGTTCAATCTACCAAGTAGGTCGTAAATTGGGGAGAAGTTTTACGTCCAATCCAAACAAGTCCCTGTTGGTAGTTCTGAATTTACAGTTCACGTGGAGATCGAAAGATAAAAACAATTTAAATTATTCTTTGTAGAAATATCTTCCGAAATGTTGAGGGGGCCTTTGGGATATCTTTTGGGGGTTTACAGATAATAAATATTTCCGGGCTTATGACTAACGTTCGAAAAATCGAATAAAGTTTTTCCGGGCTTTTATGGAAAACTACGATACGAATTTTCCATCTGACATTTTTTTCATTTTTTCATGTCAAAATTACTCTAAATAGACTTCCAATTAATATTTTGCAAAAAGTATAACGGTTTTTTATTGAACAGTTTCTGAGCCAGGCTCAGTGGGCCAACTTTTGAGGCTGCCTCAAAAATATGATATTCCAACTAAAAACTACAGATTAAAATTTTCCATATGACATTTTTTCGGAGTTCCCAGGTGAAAATTATGCTAGATAGACTTAGATAGAATATACTTTTGCACCTTGGTAGTTGATGGGTTAATAATAATATGCGGAGAACCAAATTGGCTGGATTCCATAGAAAGCATTGTTAACAAGTTACCACAAATGCATTGACTCCAAAATTTGGAGTCCAAATTGGTTTTATCACAAAACCAAAATGAGCCGAACCATCAGAGCTTATGAAGCAGGGTCCTTGGGGTCAAATAACTCCCTGTTGGAAAAATGTTGAACAGATCACACCTACTACTCACTTTTGCAATTGCAGTCAAATTGTCCATAATCAACGACAAAATTGCCCGTCCACACGAATTTAAAATTTTAATCCTCTTTCTGGACGGCGAACTTTCAGAATTTCCGAGTTATTTGGAAAAACCACAGCTAGGAGTACAGCCTAGTCATGCAGTCTGACTCATTGTTTTATCATATGAAAGGTATTGTCAATGCGCATCTTTTGATGCATAACACTTATGGTGCGTGACCCAACCAGAAAATTCTGGACCACCATTTTTTCGGGGCAAACCGACGCACCCGTCTTTTCACCGTATTTCAAGTCATTTATTTCAAAATTAAGTAATTGAGTAAAATCTATCATGTTTTACGATATTTATGAATATTAATATGACAATATTATTTGAGAAATTGATGGAAATGGAAATCAGTGTAGCTGTATTTTTCTTAGCTGCAGTGGGCGATATCTTCATCCCGACGACAGTTTTTCATATATCTCTCCAATTGTATCATATTTATTAAGTTGAGAGCAGTCAGAATGGAATCTTGATCGATGTTTCTCTTGACTGAGACATACAGAACATGAACAAGTTGCTAGGAATCCAAAGAACATGGTGAAATACGAAGAAAAACAGCATTAAATCGTTTCTCAGATTTATGCTCATATTTCAAACAAACATACATTTTTGGATGGCTCAGCATCTCAGCATTTTGTGTGCAGCGGATATATCCCAGCATATCGACGACGCAAGTCACTGTATAAATGGCGCGCGTTGACGTACACAGCTACATCGATTACACACAAACAGAGTGCACAGAGTTTCCGTTGCACACGAAATGCTGAGATTCTGGGCCATCCAAAAACGTATGTTTGATTTAAAACCATATTGATTAAAAAAAACAAATGGTTAAACACCAAAAGCACACAAATTCGAACTAAATAGAACAGAAAAAACTATAACTAACTTTAGTATTAAGTATGTACTGTGACCCCTATTTCAAGGCCGTTGTTACTACACCAAAAATTGCGCAATGCTTAACTCAATCAAGCCATTTTAACACTTTTGGTGGAAATCCATTGGCTTGCGCTGCTGGTTTGGCCGTGTTGGAAGTTATCGAAAAAGAAGGTTTACAACAGAATTCAAAAGGTTTTTAATTGATATCATGATTTATTGATTGAATGATACTTATAATATTTTTCATTTTTATCAACTCAAAAGATGTGGGAACGTACTTTTTGAAATCTCTAAATCAATTACGGGATATACATGAAGTGGTCGGAGATGTACGAGGACAGGTATGTTAAAAACTAATTGATTTTGAACTACATTTGCTGAGATAAATCAACCCAGAGTGTTAAAATAAAATCTCCCTAACTCTACATTATTGTAATGTTCCAATACCGCACATTGCCCTGGCAATATTAAATATTTAGATATTTTCCTATAGATATTTGTCGGTCTTCCTTCAATTTTATAGCATTTGGTTTACATTAATTTCTTGACTTTGTTTTCTCGAATATCTTTCTTTAAACAACAAAATGAAAGTCCACATCATTCAAAAATCGGTACATATTGGCACGTATCTGTGAACAAAGTTTTTTCAACAAACTGTTTGCAATTTTGGCCAATATTCCAATATGTCGAAAACCAAAACATGGCCGCCATCTTGGATTCAATTCGAATCCAAATACCACAAAAGTGCGCACGAGATCGAGTCAATGGCCACTTCTTTTTAATAAATTGACTAACGCCAGTTGCTGAGCTTAGCTGCTGACTCGTATGCGTTGCGTTGCGTGGTTTCAACACATTCACAGTATAAAAACGAGATATCCTTCAAACATAGACCAACCATTAAACGAAATGCGTTCTGCACGAAAGTAGTAGTCTTGTAAAATGTTAAATTTCGGAAGAAACTAGTATAGCTAGAGTATCCACAAATAGCAGAAGTTATTAGATTCTATACACACAGGAATAAGTACTAGGAATAAGTACTATTGAGGTTTAGTGCCGAATAAGGAAAAAAAATTGATGAAATTCAATTTTTAGTACTTATTTATGTGTGTGTAATTTTTAGAATGTTATAAAAGAATTAAAGTCTATATTAGACCACATTCACCCATGTACAACTCCTTTTGAAGGTCAGAACCGTGATAGTCTCGAATTATCGGTATTTATCACCATTTTTTTCATTCTGACCCCAAAATAAGTGAAATCATGTGCCCTAATTGGAGTTTTGAAAATATAAACCAAGCAAAAGTTGTTCCAAAAATGTTCAATAAAAATATAAAATTGATAGAGTTTTATTCGAGGGGAAAGTAAAAGCGATAATAATCTGAAGAAATAAATGTAGGGTTTTGTTAAACTATTTGTTTTGACATTTATTTCTCAACAAGAATTCAAAAAGTTTTTGGTGATTTCTAGTACTATAAATATTTCTAACTTGTTTTCACTACAAAGTCAAAAAATATCTTGTTGTGAAATGAATGCCAACACAAACAGTTTAACATAACCATAAATTCGTTTTGTGAGAGTAGTAAAGTAATAGTTGAATTTTGAAAGTAATAGTAACCCATTTTCCATTAGTTTTTGTGCAACTATTATTATGCTATTAACGTGCTATTATTACAATTGCATTTCTATTACTTTATTCTTTCATGTTGAAAAATCAATAGTAAATTGCAAACTAATTGAAAGCAAAAGCACCCAATAGAAAAGTAATAGCTGAGCGATTTTCCACAGTGAGATCAATCGTAATGTAATGTAATGTGTTTTATTGGAGGTTAAAATTGTATCATATATACAAGGGGGAAAGCAGTAATCTAGTACTGCATTCAATGCCGATTCAATGCCAATTCAATGCCACTAAATTCAAAACAATGCTATTCACTGCAATATTGCAGTGGATATCCACTGCTGTCATCGATTGATGTACTAGATTACTGTTGACAGGAGTGGATTGCAGTGAATAGCATTAATTTGAATTTAGTGGCATTGAATTGGCATTGAATCAGCATTGAATGCAGTACTAGATCACTGCTTTCCCCCTTGCATATATACGATAGTAATTAGTATAGTATTCAAATATTAGTATTTTACATTCTTTTTTCTGTGTGTGTGAGATCATTCAAGACGGGCGTCATTGTGCATAGTTTACAACGAAGTTTAGATTCCAAAAAATTGTTGACTATGAGATAATACAAAACGGCATGTGAAATTCGAAAATGAAGGCTCAAAATTGAATTTACGACCGAACATACAAAGGAATTTTGTACAATCTCTTTGAGTACTAGGCTAATTATAACCAGATAGCAAACGCCTCTTTCACTCGATTCATGACAAACCAATTTCTTCATTTATGAAATTCCAAGTCAGTCTTCTTTGTACCAAAGAGATAAGACAACGTTAAAAATAATATTGTACATTGATATACAAACAAGATTCGAAAATCGACAAGCATGCATGTGAAAAATATTCATATATGAATCGAAAAAATTATGAAGGCATAATCATGATTTTGTCGAATGCCTATGTTTCAAAAAATATAACGTAAAGAGGAAAATTCAATTTACTTATTTTATTGTCATTGCCATAATATTACTCTTTCTGCCATTTTTGTCTTGCAAATCAAGGAAATTCAAACGGAAACGGCCCGTGGCCACTAATTTTAATCGCAACCCGTGTGGAAATTTTTTGACTAGTCAGTCGAATAATTTGGGACATTTTGACTGTATAAAAGTGATTGTTTCGAACAAAATAAGCAACTGCAGTTAACTTTAATCACAAATCACCCTTAGTCAAAATTAGGGTTTAAAAACGCGTTATTTTTTTCAGTGTTTCTTAAAAACGTTTTTTTACAGAGCCGTTATATACCGCCCAAAAAACGTTTTTTTCGTTTTTTATCGTTATTTCTGCGGTATTTTGGACTGTCAAAAAAAACACTACAGAAAAATAACGTTTTTATAACACCGTTTGCGGTATTTGTCGAAACGTTTGTAAACCCTAGTCAAAATGTCCCAAATTAGTCGACTGACTGAAAGAATAACTAAACGTGATTGTCTCCATACAAAACGCATGATTTCAATCAACTTAGCCAGTTTTAGTTGTGTATCACTACATACAGTTACATACAACTGAGTGACTGTTAGTCATTTTATTTGCACACGGGAAGGCCATGACTTTGGCCAAGTGGCCAAACCATTGGCAGCACTGCTCTTAATTTCATCGCAAAAGAGTATAAACAATACATTTATAGGTGCTGACATCTAGGTTCATCCCATTTATGTATGTCAACACCATTTAAATGTATTTATTTATTTATTTATTTATTTATTGATCTAGTACAGACCCTTTTACAATAATCGCTTATCTTCAATTGCTTTCACATATTTGTTTCTTTCATTAATCTTCAATTATTGCAATTTACTTTCATTAAACTGTCTAACTGCTGACCAAAAGAACTGATTTTTCAAGTAGTCGCTTTTGTATGTCGGTAGTTTTAATAATTCTGTGTTATGTGTTGGTCTATTGTTGTTCCACACTAGTTTCGATTTTAAAAAATTTGAATCTAAATTATCATGCAATAAATCATATATGAACACACAACAGGCATATACATATCTACTGTGAATCGAATCAATATTTAGTTCTGAGCAACGGTCATCATAGGGACGAATTGTGTAATTATTATTTGCATTGGGATATTCTTTGAGTGCCATCATAGTAAATCTTTTCTGAACTCCCTCAATAAAATCCTTATCTGTGGCCGTGGAAGGATACCAAATAGCAATACCAAACAATAGTTTACTCTTTACGAATGAGTTGAATAAAACAACAAGAGTGTCAACGTCGAATTTTTTACCAGCTGTGCGTTTTATGAATCCCATTGTTGAGTTACATGTGGCAACTAATGATTCAATGTGTTTCTTAAATGTTAAACGCTCATCTATTCTTATACCCAAATCCCGAAAATCACTAAATCTGTTCAATAAGACGTCATGGTATATTTCCCGATTAGTTTTCTCTCACCTCAAATAATAGAATTTTAATATATTTCTCAAATATTGTCGGTAGATCATTTATGTAAATCAAAAACAATACAGGCCCTGGGACACCTGTGTGCATTAAATAATCATTGGAGAGGCTATTATTAATTTTCACTCTCATCGATCTCGAATTCAAATATGAAGCTATCCATTTAATTATGCCTGGGTCAAACTGCATGTCTGTCATTTTTTTCAACAAAATTGCATGATCGACTCTGTCGAATGCTTTAGTGAAGTCAGTATATAAAATATCAACTTGGCATTTCTGAGCAAATGCTTCATTTGTAAATGTTACTAGCTCCATTAGGTTTGTGTTTATTGATTTTCCAAGGACAAATCCGTGTTGGCAGTCACTTATACGGTTTCTAAAGTGGGACATTATTTAATTGTATAATATTTTCTCAAACAATTTCAATAATGAAGGTAGTAATGCAATACTTCGATCATTTTCGACATTTTCTTTTGGTCCCTTTTTAAATAATGAAATAACGTGTGAGGTTTTCACAGAATTTGGTAGTGTGCCAGTCTAGGGGGAAAGAACGACACAAATTTAAAGATAACATGGAAATATTGCCAATGCCTAACAAAACGTGCAAATGCGTGCAAATACGACAAACGAATGCTTGAAGATGTATGCGTATTTGCCATTCTTATTCGTGCTCAGCAAGCACTGCTCACTACGAACGAGACGAAGCAACATGGAAACAACAACAATAACACAGAGGATCGCTATGCAAATGCTTGCAAATAGACGTGAATACGGAAAATACGTCAAGTCGTTCTTTCCCCCTAGGTGCCAGTTGTCAATGATTTATTAAACAAAAGTGTAATCGGTTTCGCCAGTGTAAATCTGCAGTTCTTTATGATAATTGGCGAGAAATTGTCAACACCGATACCTTTATCTGTTGGGAAATTTTTCATTGCATCATATACGTCTTTTTCAGTTATGACAATTTGTGTTTGATTATCCAATTCGTTCAATATTCTATTTATTTCGATATCATTTTTATCCCCACAAAAGACTGACGAGAAAAATTCGGCGAACAGACTCACTATTTCTGATTCACATTTGCCCTCTTTGTCTTTGTATTTTATTTTTGATTCATACCCTTTTGACGACTTTTGCTCTCTTACGAACGACCAGAATTTTTTTGGGTCTTTTTTTATGTTATGCGATATTGTACTGTTGTACTGCTCATAAAGAATTTCATTCAAATCATCAAATTTTTTTAGTATTCATCCTGTGTGTTACTCATGCCATCTTTTTTCTTTAAAAACTCACTATTTCTTTTGTTCCTAAGTTTTCGTAATTCGGTATTGTACCATGGTTCTTTTCCTTATTTTCAATTTTGGAACGAATTATTCATATGCGCATGCTATTGTGTTATAAAAGCAGTCAAATGTTACTTATTGATTTCGATGGAATTTAGAATTTCACTGAGATCAATTGTTCCAAAATAATTATTCATTGCATAAAAATCAGTCTTTTTGTAGTCATAAATAGTCTCAATGATTTCCTGTCTTTTGGTTAATTTCTTTTTTGGAATTACATTGTGAATAGTGCATTCAATTGCAGGATGTGCTTCATCAATTTTCATAATTGGATTTTTGCATAATTTCAAATCATGTTCGATTTCATCATTTACAAATAATAGGTCTAAAACGTTTCCTTTCTTATTTGCTACATAATTAATTTGCCTAAGGCCTAATGAATTTATGTCATTGAAAAAATTTGCTGTGAATTGTGGTTTGAAATTGCATGGTGCTAACTTATTTTCGTCATTTAAATTATATTTTACATTTGACAGGTTAAAATCCCCTAACAGAATTACAATATCATTGTCATTTGCATTTACTTTTATTTTATACTACTTTATCGTATGTATTTTTGTCATTTGATCTACTCGGTGGAATGTATTCACAAAACACAATTATAGCCCTTCCATTGGTTAAAATCATCCGGTTTCCTACCATTTCAATATCACTAAAATCATTTAAATCAATTTGTTCAATATAATAATTTTCATTTTTCTTTATCGCAATTAATGTGCCGCCACCAGATGATTTTTTGCTATTCAATATTGAACGATCACAGCGAAAACAGAGAAACTATCACAAAAATATTCTTGGTCTAAATTTCCTTCATCCAAAAAGGTTTCAGTCAATGCTACTATATCATATTCACTGTCAAATGTTTTTGGTTTAATATTTCGATTTTTTTTTCTTAAACTCTCAACGTTTTGTACATATATATATAAAGCGAAGTATTCCCAGAGAATTTCCATCGCAGAATTTTTACTTAAATCTATCGGTGTTTGTATGTCATTTTTGGTTTGTTTTTTTTCTTGTATTTTGAGGTTTTGTATTTTTTTTTCGATTGTGATTTTCTACCTTTTCTTGATTTTTTTGTTGCTTTTGTTGTTTGAAATTGAATCTGTCTTATTCAATTGCTTTAATAGAGCTCCTATCTTTTCAAAAAAGTTATCAACATTTTCATTATTCAAGTCTAAATTTTCTAGTTTTTGCATGCATAGTAACATTTCATAATTTATAATGGCGGTATCGTTTTCGTAATTACTGGCTGTTTTGTTGAGCATCCCATCATCCCTCGAACTTTTGGTCAATGCCCGGCTGAAGAAAGTTCGGACCTCTGCGTTGTTCACGTCGCTCTTTACCATACTCCTTATCCCAGAGACGTATTTCCCAGTGTTGTGCCCATAGAGATTTTTCGTTCACATACTGGAGCAAGTCAATGCTACAACCGATCCGATATGAAATGCCAAATCGTCGCTTTGCAATATATTCATCGGTGCAACTGTCTTTTACCAGTCTTTTCACTTCAATCGCATTTGGATCACGATCAATTGCATTTTTTATCGTCTCATTTCTGTTTAATAAATCAAACATTTTATTCGGTGTAATAGAAGGATCAACAATAGTATTGTTTATACTCATTTGCGATGACGTTCAACGAAATACCATTGATTACTTTCGTGTGTGCAATGTGGATGGTTGTTGAATCTCATTCAATGCCACTAAGCTGTCGACATCTTTCTCCGGCTATACGACAAACAACAGAACCATCATTGAACATAAAAAAGACATGTTCAATTGTGTTTGTTTCGTTAGTTTCAACTTTGCCGCTACGAGAGGTCACTTTTGTCGTTTCTTGTTGTTATTTCACATGTAAAATCAATGGTATTAGACGAGGATGCGTGTGTGTACAGATGAGTCAACCAATCTTTATAGTTGTTGAAATAGAAGCGACCCGTTTTCAACACAGAGAAAATAAAGTCTAGAATATCGATAGGTCCATCGGGAAATGGTTTTGAATTGACTGCAACAAAGGGTACTCAGAATCAACTGTACGATTAATCATATTCAACTACTGCTAATAAAATAATGTGTAAAAATTCGCTTCCGAAGGTTTTAGTGATGCTCCATCGAAACACGACACAAATATTTACACACGCGATTTCAGACATTTTAGGCATTTATTTTTATCCCGCGCTCTTACTTTATCCCAAAGATCATAAAATTACTGTCACCCTTTCAACGTTCACAGGGTCTAATGATTGGCGTGGAGTTTGTTGAATCGAAAGAAACACGCGTACCCTTATCAAAAAATCAGTTTGAACAAATTTGGAACTGCACAAAGGACTATGGGGTTCTCTTCGGTAATTTGAATGAATTGCTTATATCATTTGAATTTAAAAATAATAATTACTTACTGTTATATAGGTTGTGGTGGATACTATGGAAATGTTATGCGAATAAAACCACCGATGTGCATTACCAAGAAGAATGTAGACTTTGCTATAGAAGCAATGCACTGTGCAATCAAATCTATCAAACAATAGTTTTTGTTACAAAATAATTAAATATACATCTTAAAATATTTTGGTTTTCTATTTTAAACACGTAACAAAGATGTTTATTTATCAATTGTTACTATACGATCAATAAAATAAACTTTTTAATTTAACGGTGCACACAAATATACCGGCTTGTATATGCGGTCTTTTGTATACTGATGAAACTCAAATCTTGGCCACAAATTGGAATTTCCACAAACTGAATCTTCCTCTATTGTTGCTAGGTTCCATAAAATTGTAGAAAAAATGTAGAATTCAAATCAGTCATCCGATCCTTGATGTTTTCAACAACTTATTTGGCTCCAGGAGAGTTTAATATTTAATATGGGAATAAGACTGCTATAAATTTCTATGAAATGTGTTTTAATAATTGTAGTAAACAAGAATTGTAGTGGCCCGAAAATAATCGTACAGTTAATTGTAGTCAACTGTAGTAGCACGAAAATAATTGCTCGAATTGAGAAATCCGTTTGGCCATATATTTGAATGTCGTTGGGGAGTATGGAACGTCATACAAGTGGATCGTGGTGACATCATAACTAAGCAATGGCTCATGGAAATTCTTTCAAATAGGTTGATTTGGATAGGAAATGAACCCATTCAATGGGTAAATGGTGGTAAACGGCCTAATTTTCTGAGCTCTAACGAGCCACAACAGTCTGGACCCACTTCGGACCAATTTTTGAAAAAGAATTTCAATTTATCCTACTTATGGGAGCTATTGACCTGGATAAATGGTGGTAAATGGCCTAATTTGGTATAACGACCAAAAAAATGTCGGTCCAATTTCAAAAAGAACATCAGGTATGTTATAGCGAAGAATCGTGCTTTTTGACAGATGTACTAAATTGAATGTTTTCTGTGTCGCCATCTGGTTGGTGATACTAATATCTTCTCGCACGGTTCAGATGAAGATTTTATTTATTGTTTATTCGATTTTATACAAAATCACTTTTTCATTCATAAACCCAATTTAGAATAGAAAATCACAGTTATTTTGACAGTCGAGTTATTTTGCATGATCGAAAATGTGGGAATTAATGTCCACGAAGAGACAAAAGAATGATTTGCCATTTATTATTTTGTACTAGTGTTTTTTTTTCAGATAATATTCGGCTTCTTTCAAAACAAAGTTGCAACACTTGAAATTGGTCGTGCCGTGTAAACTTGATGATGACAATTTTTTCACTCTTATGTTTTTAGGCATTTAGCGTGCAAAATAACTCGACTGTCGAAATAACTGTGATTTTCTCTTCTAAATTGGGTTTATGAATGAAAAAATGATTTTGTATAAAATCGAATAAACAATAAATAAAATCTTCATCAGAACCGTGCGAGAAGATATTACCAACCAGATCATCAACACAGAAATCATTCAATTTAGTACATCTGTCAAAAAGCACGAAAATACTTAAGGTTCTTTATCCTGAGTAAAAAACAGCACTTGTCTTGGATATGATGGATATCAGAGAATCATTTCAGTTTACAACTGAATTCCCAGTAACTGAATGCAGTGACTGCGTGCGTCGATGTGAGTAAGCGGGCGCTCTACATTCAAGCGCAGACGTGTATATACATTGATTTACACTCAATTGGAGTGAGTGTGCGTGCTAGAGAGGAGAGGAGAGGAGAGAAGAGAACGAACGATATGTGTCGCATTGAACGATTTGAGTGAACGTCGTCTTGACACAGTGTCAGTGTGGCGAATACTTACTTTTTGTTTCTTTTCGTTCCTTCTTCTTTTTCTTCCAACAAATTTGTTAGCAGCACACACACAAACACAAACACAAACACAAACAAAAAAGTTATATTCTAAAACTAAATACAACAAACCAATAATCGAATGTCCGAGAATGAAAACGCAACTTCTATTCACAACACATATAAGTGAAACAAAAATAAAAAATTTATTGAAATGAAACAACAAAATCGAATTTTTTCAAAGTGTAACAACAAAAAAGATTTTTTTAAAGTGTAACATCGGTATGTAGTAAGTGTAATAACATACCGATGTTACACTTTAAAAAAATCTTTTTTGTTGTTACACTTTGAAAAAATTCGATTTTGTTGTTTCATTTCAATAAATTTTTGATTTTTGTTTCACTGAAATGTGTTGTGAATAGAAGTTGCGTTTTCATTCTCGGACATTCAATCAAACATTGTTCTGTTTATTTTTTGAATTTGATTTTTTTTTGCTTGTGTTTGTGCTGTTGACAAATTTGTAAGAAGGAACGTCAATCGAAGAAACAAATAGTAAATATCCGCCACACTAACACTGTGTCAAGAGGACATTCACAACCATCGCTCGATGCGACAAATTTTGTTCGTTTTCTTCTCTCCTCTTCGCACGCACACTCACTCCCATTGAGTGTAAACCAAAGTAAATGCATGTCTTCGCTTGAATTTAGAGCGCCCGCTCACTCACAGCGATGGACGCAGTCACTGCATTCAGTTACTGAGAATTTAGCTGTAAACTGAATATCTATGCTGAAATGATTCTCTGCCTATACTTTCCCATAGGGTGGCAGCACCAAGAAAATTCAAATTGTCGCGCTGTTTTGTTCGGAAAAAAATTCCGAAATTAAATTGATTTGCCTATTGAAAGTGCATTTTCTCCTCTCATGAGAGCGCTCGCGTCGCTACAGTTGTCATTTAAGTTGTTTTCGGTCTTGCTGCCATCCGATATACTTTCCCCTAAACTTTTCTGTGTACGAAAAAGTAAAATTATTTACATTTCATGCAATTTTATTGAACAAATAAACACGGTTTCAGTTTTGATTTTGGATGAAAACACATTTTAATAAATATAGAAAATTATCAAAAATATCAGTTTTCTTTGATTTTATACGGAATAGACTTTCACATAGTCAACAATCAGACCGGAATCCCGGCTATTCCACGTTGAGTACCATTCATCAGCATTCATGTAAAAGCTCAGTTCTGCCTATAAATTAAATTTGAAATGATTTGATTCAATATATTAAATTAACCAATCGCCAAAAACGAGCAACAAAAACGCCGGCTGTACGTGGAACCGTGCGTTAGATCAATATATATTGACAAATAAAAATGCCCCTTGAAAAATTGTGATCTAACGCACGGTTCCACGTACAGCCGGCATTTTTGTTGCTCGTGTTATTAAAATTAAAATATATTTAGTTCTAGATGGATTTTTCAAAATTATGTCAACGCCGGTAAATATGAAGTGATACCGGGAAAATTTATATTGATATATCAAGTTTCCCGGTGAACAAATCAAAATTTCCATCTTTAGTTTCTGTGTGCACATGGCCGTACAGCCGCTGAGAAAAAAATTACCTTTGGTGACGTATTTTCCCAAGGTTTTGGTGTCTTTAGCCATCCAGTCTGTGAATTATCTGGAATACATAACCATATATATCACACCTCAATTTCCTAATAAACCACATTTTATTTTAAGTCCTTACGACATTTTTTCGATATTACCTGGAAAATCCGCATTTCCGCCAACGCCCACACCAAGGGCTATGTGAAATTCTTGATCGAATGGTGCCATATTTGTCCCTGCTTCCCAATAAATCGCATTTGCAATAGATTTCAATTGTTTATAGCCGCCAGTATCCGTTCCTAAACAGTAATTTCAATCGGATTTTTATTATTTATTATTTAGTGATGAGCACATGTCAAATACTTTGATAAAATTTATACTGTGATTCATATTATCAATATTTTCAACAGGTTTTCTCTTAGATCGAGAAAAAAAATCTAAAAAGCTGATTGGAATGTCCTGTGAAAGGCGTTTTTTAACATAGATCCCTTTGAAAAAACATCAAAGAATGAACATTGTGCGCAAGTTCAATTCGACAACGCCATAACGGATAGAGTGGCCGTGTGTTTTCAGATAATGTGTACAAAAAATGTGTATGATACTGATGAAGAAGAGAGTTTGAAGAAGATTCAGAACAGACTGCGGAGTGCACAGCAAGTGTATGAACTCGATCCGGTCTTCGTTTGGTTTTGGGTGGTATTTTCAATTGACAATAAATAATCGCCAATATCATTGTTTAATTGGACATTACAAGCGCAAAGAAAAGTGAAGAGACTTGACTCGCCAAATCAATGAACGAATTACGCGAATGATTCGATTTTTAGCCAGGTCCACGCTCTGCAGATTTCAACGTGTATGTAGACCACATTCTTTGCCATCTCAGTGCAAAGTATGAATACGCTCTGCAGGATTTGTTACAGTACATTGCAACAGAATGGCACCGGATTTTTATCCCTCGAGGTAAAATCATTTTCAAATATCTTGAAGTGACCAAATATTTTCAATACTTTTTACATTAGTGGGTAATAGCAGAAATAAAGTTAAACATCAATTTCCTATGTGGTAGGTATAAATTTTGCAGAAAGTTTTGGTGTTCTGACGAAAATGCATTTTACCCCGAGAGGTAAATTTATCCCGATCAACAAAAATTGGCCGAAAGAGAATTGGAAAAACTTGCGATAAAATTGATCAATGACAAACGAACATTGGAAGCTCGCCAGTCAAAGGCTATCGGCGCACAGGAGTTCGAATACTGTTCGAGAAAATGAGCTGACATTTTTGCACAACAAAGTTATGCTTTCGACAGGTGGAAAAACCGAAAAAAGCCGATGGAATGAGGAAGAAGAAGTATCGGTATTATTTGTGCCGTGGATGTGAGAAAGTGCCTGAAGCAACAGAAGCTGTCAACAACAACCATTTGCGCAGAACAAATCGACAGCTTACGAAGCAACGAAAGAATGTTTGTAATTTAATCCTTTAGAATTTTCTTACTAAAAAACCGCAAAATATTAATATAAAATCCTTTTTTTATAGTATAAACAGAATTTTAGGAAGACAAACTTCCCTTGTTACATTTGTTTTAATGAATAGACTAATTGAGATTGGATGTCCTTATCAATATTATGAAATAATCAAATAAAAAATGAATAAAGTGTGTTAGTGTTTTCAAGTTGAATATATTGGCATTAAATGCAATTTTACCGAATTCGATGCCGTCCACTAAAAATTTTATGCTTGAACTAGTCCAAACGACCGAATACGTGTGGAAATCATTTCCAAAGTGCTCCGTTCCAAAATGAATCTGTTAATGTTGAGGAAATTATTACGCATTATTACTCAATTTAGGGTAAATTATTATATTTACTCACACTTTTTCGAGCAGCCTCACGAACTGTATCACCTGAAAATAGGTTTGAAGGAAAAATACATAGGTTTAGCAGAATATACACAGAGAGCTAGTGCGATTGAATGCTCACCGTTGGCGATCACACAAATACCAGTCAGAATTTTGCCATCAAGTGGGATACCGTCTGATTTTTCTAAGATTTCATTCCCGCGAATGAAGGCGATACGAATTTGACCATTTAAATAAGCCAAGTCCCCTGTTCCTCTATATATATTGTCTGATGGTTCCAAAAATATTTCTGTTATGGAAAAAAAGAAATGTATGAGAATATCAAAGGCAATGAGATCGATGAAGTGTCTAGTTTCGTACGAGGAAAAATCCAGTCTCCCTTCGGCAATTTCGCACGAATTTCAACCCTGCCATATTTAAAGTTGAATGTTTTTTTCGAACGGAACTTGGTCGAAACAACTGGCGGCAAAATCCGTTTCAATCCTGCTTGTCTCTCGCATTCCTGTTTTGGATCAATGAACGATGTACACCTAAAAAAAACATAGGCTTTATAAAATACATAGATAGAGCTAGTGCGATTGAATGATCTAGTTTGAGTCTAAAAGATAAAATTATTTTCAAAGAAGTATTACTCCCTGGAGTCAATGAGAAAATGACCAGAACGTATATCAGTTTCTGAAAATCCCGATTCATGAACACGATACAACAGTTTTGGAAATATGTTCAAATTTCCATTGGACACATTCCACACACTCGGATAATTTTCGTAAAGCACAAATTCAGCATCCTATTTTGAATCGAAGGAAAATTAATTCAATATTAAATCAAAATACAAATAAGTCAATATTGAAAATATCTGAGTATGTATAATTACCTCAAATTCTAAAGGCATTCTAACATCTTGACTCCAACGATCAAGTAAACCCTGATTGAATTGTTCTTCAAATATCAAAGTTCCCTTACAACTGACACGTTTTCTATTGACTGTAGTTATAGATGGCTGACAATTTTGATGACTTTGTTGATTGTTCTGATTCTGTTGACTGTGATGATTTTGTTGGTTTTGTTGATTATATTGATTTTGTTCGTTGTATTGATTTTGGCTTTGCTGCTGATTATTGTATTGGTTGTTTTGATTTATTTGTTGGTGTTGTTGTTGCTGTTGGTTTTGTTGATGATAATGATTTGGTTCTGTGGTTCCGGGCCAATAGTTTGTCGAAGTAGCTCTTGTTGTAGACCTTGTAGTAGGTCTAGTTGTGCTTGTTCGTGTAGGTCTCACCGTTGGTCGGGATGGTCTTGTCGTGTATTCTTGGTATTGTGTTTGCGGTTGTGTATATATGTTTGGCTCTTCATAAACGAAAATTGGTGTGGTTCTGGTTGTTCTTTGTGTTGTGTATTCTTGTTCCCATGATGAAACACCACCATTACTATAATTCACGTCATCACTTGATCCAATCGATCCTCCTGATCCACTTGATCCACTTAATCCACTTGATCCTCCATAATGAGAATCGTAAACAAAATGATCTACATTTGAATTGGGCGATAATTTTATTATGCAGATAGCTAACTTTATATGTGGAGTCAAAACCTGGATATTACCTGGATATACATATCGTTGATTGTCTAAGCGGTACCCAAAGTTTCCATGTTGAACATATATCCAAAAGTGAAGGACATCCCCACGTTGTAATTGATACTGATTATTTTCATAAGACCACCATCCACTTGACTTAGTTCTAGCTTCCCCATAAAAGTCGCCAACTTCATTTGCTTGAATCTCTTTATTAATCTTTCCGTGAAATGCATATAGAAGAATCCCATTCGCATCTATTTAAATTTAAAATTTCGAATTTTCAATGAAAAACGGAAATCAGTGATAATTTCGCTGTAAAACAATCTAAAATAGTTGGGTTTTTCAGTAAATAGTCGTACGTATTTGTGTTATGTTATCACATGAAGTTCAAGATCATGTAACACTATGAGCTCGCGGCTTTCAAGCGTCATATCGTTCGTATCAGTGTAGCAGTGTTTTGTTTCATTTGATAATACCGACCATTTGTTCATATTTCTTTTTGTGTCACCAAAATGAAACTGGTTTTTTGCTTCTCTTTCAATAAAATGTCACTTTACCACATCCGAAAAATGTATGTTTGTGACTGCATTTAAATGTCGAAATGACTATTTTCATTAAATACAGAATTAGAAAATAAACACATATCGCAGATGATGGAATTACACTAAACTGCGCAACAAGTGAGTGGTTCATAATGTCAGTTAAATCATGTAAAGTGTACATGATTTGCGTCGCAAAGGGAAAACCCGTGCATTTTTGTATCAATAATCAATTTACGAGAAGGAATATAGCATCATAATAGGAAATGGAGAAGATTGCTTACCTGGAATTGAAATGCGAAAACCTCGCGACAAAACTACAGCGGTTGGCTGTGGAATTTGATAGTCTGATCTGCTTTGACCAGTCACAATATTTAGTGTGATAACACTTAAAATGAACAACACTCCACAATATTTACACTCCATTTGCTCAAGTATAATTGGATGTTAGCATCCTTTCCAATGAAACAAATGACCGGAGGTGATGATGGTGAAGATGACGATAATTTTGTGTTACTCCTTTCAAACACTATTTGTTAGCTTATTCGTTGGCCATTTCTTTCTCGCTTATCAACGTTCCCAAAAATAAATTCAAATTACTGCGACAAATATTAGTGACAACAATATAAATAACATTCAATGCACGGAAACACCAACTATAATTGAATTAATCGTTTCCAAGTGACAGAAACTAAGGTGTAATGCGCTGTATACAGCCTTAGTGGAAGGACGCACACAATAACTAACAACTGATACTGCCCAATACGTTTCTATCTATAACGATGTATTGTCGTTTGACGATGTTTTTGTGTGATTGAGATGTGGCGGTGATCGTTTCTCACTTGATCGGCAATGCCAGACGTATGCTAGATCAACTGCCTCTATTAAAGTCGTTGTTCTGAATACGAAAACAACATACAAACGAAAAAGACGCCTGAACTAATATCAAGAGTATAAATCGAACTGAAGCATCAATCCATTTCAATGAAGAGATACGCACCGTTTTTGGCTAAAACCCGATTTTCATGTTATCACAGTTGCTTTTTCTCCATTCATTCCATCCTTATCACACTCACATTTGAATTGCTGGCATAGTCTGGATTGGTGAAATATCTGATTTAATTGAATCTTTTTCAATAACAATCTCAATTAAATATATTTTTCAACCCAATTCCACAATGAGAATTTCTCATTTTATTTTTGGTTTGATGAAATACAAATAAAAAACTTGTTTTGATAGATTTGTCATTTAACGCCTTTCAACTTCCTCACATGTAGGTGTCGCTTAACATATGTTTTGACATTTGCTTTATAATTGCAAGTTCAGAATGAAGTTGGGTTATGGTGCCGCTTTTGCCACAAACTTCTCATCAATTATATTTCATCCATTGAAAGAATTGGATAATTTTCCTCTGTAGTTTCACAACCAATAATTTTTCCTATAGAATTTATTTGGTGTTAAATATGGCTGACTTTGCAAAATTCGCCAACCTTCCTGGCATCGTATGTATTATTTTATAGGTTTTAAAGTATGTCAGAATAATTTTTTGTTTTTTTTTTGTGTTTCTCCGTAGGCCTACGATCAACCAGACGTTTATGAAAATAAAACACCTGATGCTCCCGAATGCACGTCAAACTTATATGAAGACACCGAAGCTGAATGCATCGAACGCTTGCATTTCTCGTCCGACAATTCCAACAATAAGATAGATTATTCTCAACATAATGTGCGCGGTGGTTGCTGGGAGCTAGCGGGTCATGGTGAAAAAGAGACGCCAATTGAAAAGTATCGACGCATCAAATGTGAAATGGATGAGCTTTTGAATGAAATCGTGGATCTAAATATATGTGCAGCCGTTTCAAAGAAGGATAAAGAAAGCTATGAAGCTGTGAGCCAAGCTGTAAACAGTGCACAAAAAGTATTGGGTAGTTTAAAATTGGACAGTGTGCTCGGTAGTGAAACGATTCCATCTGCATGCGACAGTGAGATTAAAAAATTGCTCATTCAAATAGAAGGTTTTCGGAAAAACAATGCCAGCCAAATTTCAGCTGAAAAATCTACACAACAGTTGGAACAGACAAAAAGAATCGCCGAACTGGAGGCCCGTTTGCATCATATTGAAGTCATCATCGGTAAAAATCATTCTCAACCAGATAAACTCAACAGATTGGCTAGCACATTTGATACTAGAGACACCTCACTCGTCGATACCGTCCAACAAATTTCAACAAAAGCCGCTTTATTACAACCAGCTCAACTGGATTTAATCGAGAATCGAGTCTCAGTGTTGTCTAGCAAACTCAATACAATCAAGGAAAAAGCATTGGTTATAAGTGGAAAAAATGGTGCAAACGATGAAAGCGATAGGGTCGCGGCTCTTTATGACATTGCCAAGAAAGTTGAACCAATTTCGAAATTTTTACCAGACATGCTGAATCGAATGCAGGTACCTGTCTATTATCTAGCATTTAATGACTATTACTCTTACCTAGCATTTAACCTCTAATCTAAATCACTCACTTGCAGGCTTTGGAAACACTTCACAGTCATGGTGAATATCTGACAGACAAATTAAATTTTCCCTCCTTTCAATGAAGTCTAAAATGTCTTTTTTTCTTGTTCACACAGCTAACAGCTTCAACAAAACGACTTCTGAGTTAGAATCGACACAATCTACGTTAGTTTCAAACCTGAATGGAAATAAAGCTCTTCTGCAAAACGTCCAAGAGACATTCGCCTTGAATTTGGAAAGTGTAAACCAAGAGATTGAAAAACTCGAAACACGGCTTAAAGCTTCCGAAAAGAAATGAATCTCATATACTTAACTTTCACACTTACATAATTGTGATTCGAATGGCTATCAAATCAGTATTGAGTCATTAGGTTAAGATTAATCTTTATCAAAATAAATATATCCGTTATTGTTGACCTTCAAACCGTAAAACGAGCACTGTATGCCCAAGACCAACTTCCAACCAAAGGTTTTTTTTAATCATACCTGCATAAAATAACTATGGTTCGATTCCTTGAACATTTGGCTACATAAATTGCGTCAACATCACATATGTGTATAAACATATAGAGGTGGCCATTTTATCAATTTTGGCCGAAAAAATCCCAACGGCCAATTTGCTGGCCTATTTTGATGTTTTACACCGAAAATAACATTTACTTTTCAAGAACTTTCCAATGATATACATAACTTTTTGATCCGACCACCTGTTCAAAATCTCAAAAAAAAAAAATTTCAAATTTTTTTTGACGTTAATATCGGCCATAGTGTTATTTGTATGTATATGTTTGTGAAGAGATCCAGATTGCTATCTCCACTTTATTGAAAAATTCCAAAAACACTTTTGTAGTCTTTCATTTTTCGATTTTCTATAACTTTTATCACCTTTAAAGGTAATTTGTGTACTTTTCCAATCTCTAATCGCTGAAGTATTTAAATTTAAAAATAAAAATTGAAGAAAAAACTGACATTTCTATTTAAAATGCATTATGGGCACTCAGGCACCGGTTTCACAAACAACGTTAGAAAAGAGGTTTCACGGTTTGAAGGTTATTTATGTGAAAAACGGAAAACGAATACTTGCAAAAGAGAAAATAAACTATGATAATCATGGAATTGTCAGCGATTTTTCATCAAAGTATGCAAAACAAATATAACAGCAACGTGACTCTCTTTTGCGTGCGAAGGAATCAAATTCATTACATCAAATTTTGACAGTGAAGAATATAGCAAAAATTACGAAGAGTACGAAGTTTTAAATCAATGGCTAGAAATTTTCGTTGAATCAACATGGGTTTGTGTCATTGAGAATAAAAATGGAATTTACCGATACCGGCCGTTTAAATATGAATCATTTATGTGTTCATGGTAAGAAATAGGAGGCAAGTGACTCAAGTAAAGATATTTTTACTTCAATATCTTGAATTGTTCAAAAATATTTCAGAAGATATGCGTCTTCTATCTCATACCACGAACACAGAAATGATTCGCATATTTAACGGAGTGGCTGAAACATTGGTAAATTCCAAATGGCGTTAACATTAGCGTATGTAATATGAATTTATAACCACATGCGTCACCCTAGAAAAATGCCCAGTTTTTGTTATCCATGGCTGCGTTTGCCTAACAAAAATAAACGGTTTTAGTTAATAAATTTCAACCTACATACACTACCGTGCAAAAGTTTGGAACCACTAGGTATTTTTCATACAAATTGACTATTTTTGGTGGACTCATTAACATATTTCGGAAACACCTGCACTCTTG